GTGAGGCCTGAGGAGGGGGTCTTATGTCTTTTTGGGCATGTGTGGGCGAGAGGGTCACGTCTGTACAGAGAAGACCTGGGAGAGGGGAGTGATAGGAATTAGGAGCTGAGGCGTATGGTGTGTTAAGAAGTGTGGCGCCGCGCCGGGGATGGGCACCGGACATCTGTGCAGGTGAGACCTTAGCCACCTTACCCTTGGGAAGGATCTTAGCTGTACAGGTGGATACGGACTAGACTCAAAGGTCAGGAGAGGCACGCATCAACTGAGTTGGGGGAGATCTAGAGAATCTAGGGAATGTGAGGTTACATTCAGGTGAGAGATGGGAAGAGGTGGTATGGCAAACTGGGGACAAGGGCACTGTGGAGGGGCAGCCCCCAGGGGTTAAGGAATTGTGGAAATAGGGATTTTATTGGGCATAGGAGAGAGGAAAAGGAGTAGTGGGGTAAGTGCTAGTAAAAAGGGGTTTGGTTTGGGAGTGATGAGGGCAAGGATGGGGACTGGGGCTGAAAGAGTAGATCTGGAAAAGTGTGCTGAAGAGTGGAAATTAAGTCCAAAGACACAGAAGGGAGGGGGAGAATTTGTATGTGTGAGTGTGAGTGTGTGTGTGTGTGTGTGTGTGTGTGTGTGTTTTGGGGGAGAGGAAACGTTTGAGCATGTTGAGGATGGATGTTCCTCTGTGGGGAAGTCAGAGAAGCAGGAAGGCTGAGTTGGCTGGCCTGGTAGAGGTTGTGGAAAATATGAAAAGAAACAGCAGGTAATACCTGGGAAGAGGGGGCGAGATGGGTCTGAGGTTGGGTCTGTGTCTCTCTTTTGTGTAGCTGGTTTGACCTTTCTTTTTCCCCCTTCCAGTTGGCCCTGTCTTCATCAGGTGCGTACTCAGAGGAGATGAAGAGGGAATTGGGGAGGTCTGAGGAGCTGGAAGACCCTTCTGTGTACTGGAAACCACTACATTTTTTTCCCCCAGTGGCTGGAGACACGGCCAGAGCGGCAAGAGTGCCCAGTGTGTAAAGCTGGGATCAGCAGAGAAAAGGTTGTCCCCCTTTATGGGCGAGGGAGCCAGAAGCCCCAGGATCCCAGGTGAGAGAGGGGAGGTGGTGCCGAGGGAAGGTGGAAGCTTCTGTCCTGGGAGTGGGTGTGGAAGAGGAGGGAATATTTCCTGTTGATAGTCCCTCTCCTCTTCCTCAGATTGAAAACCCCACCTCGCCCCCAGGGCCAGCGACCAGCTCCGGAGAGCAGAGGGGTGAGTCTTGTCTGATTGTGTTCCTTCCTGGCCAAAGACTTGCCCATCTCCCTACTGACTTTCTCCACCTCTCTAGGGATTCCAGCCGTTTGGTGACACTGGGGGCTTTCACTTCTCATTTGGTGTTGGTGCTTTTCCCTTTGGCTTTTTCACCACCATCTTCAACACCCATGAGCCATTCCGTCGGGGTACAGGTAAGAGACTTCCCTCAGCTATTACCAGCAAGCCCTCTGAATCCCCCCAGCCCCCGTCCGGGCCTACGAGTGGATGCTCTTTCCACAGCTTTCCTCTCTCCCACAGGTGTGGATCTGAGACAGGGTCACCCGGCCTCCAGCTGGCAGGACTCCCTCTTCCTGTTTCTCGCCATCTTCTTCTTTTTCTGGCTGCTCAGTATTTGAGCTGTGTCTCCTTCCTGCCCACCTCCAGCCAGAGGAGAATCAGTATTGGGGGTCCCTGCTGACCCTTCCTTAACCATGGACCCTCCCCTCAACTACTCCCTTTCTCTTGGCTAAGGCCAACCCCGGCCACTTTCTGGGAGGGTGCGGGGAGGAGGAGTGACATCTGTGCATAGGATGGGAAAACCTTTGCTCTGAACTGCTCCGTCAGTAGCATCAGAACTCCCAGCTCTGAGAGAGGAGGACGGACAGAAGAGACTATCTGTCTCTCCTCTCCCGATCCTCCACTCTCCCCAGCGTTTCTTGATTTGATGTTGACAGGTGGGCAAGGCTCCCTCTTACTCTTCCCCACAGCCTCCTTGTTGATTTAATTTAATTTTTCTCTCCCCAGTGTCTAATGTGTGTTCTGACTCTTAAGTGCTTCCTTCCCCTCACTACCTCCTTTATTACAAATTCAATAAACAAGGTGAGATCTAGTCATGGGAACTCTGCCCACCTTGGCCCGTCCCTCCTTCCTTCCATGACAGGAACATCTTCTCCCCAATTTGCGTAGATGTTGGTGTGGTGTGGGGAAGCATGCGCTTGAGCCCCTCTCCTTCAGGGCTCTCAAGGGTGCAGGGGGTGAGGGTGTCTCTCACACACACACACACGAGTGAATGGGGCAAGACGTGTCAGGTGTTTACTCATTGCAGTTTGTGGGAGGCTCTGGTTGTGGAAGAAAGTCTGGGGAGGTGGGGTAGAGATTATACAGCAGGGAACTGGTCTGGGGCCAGAACACAGGGTGGAAGAAAGAAAAGGGAGCTGATGGTTGGGGTCAGGCTTCGGGCCCCTCAAGGCCCTCCGGCACTGCTCTCCGCTGCCTCGGGCTCCTCCTGCTGATTCAGTTCTGCACGCTCCTCCTCTTCCTCCTCCTGGTTTTCTGGGGCCTTCCTGGGGAGGAGGATTGGGTAGAGTCCTGCACATGGTTTCTGGCGCTCCATCATTCCTCCCCCCACATCCCTCCTTGCTGCCTGGAAGCCCTCCGTCTGAGGCGTCTGGCTTTTCCCACTCACCTCTCCTCTCCTCTGCGTTGCCGCCTGTGCCACACAATGACCCCAATGAGCAGGGCAGCTGTCCCCAGGCCTCCCAGGATCCCCAGGGCCAGGGCTAGAGTTCCCAGCCCTGGCTCTGCCACAGAGCCTGTAGCAAGATGGGGAGAATTGAGGGCACAGCCCCCTACTCACAACTCCTTTCTCCTCGACCATCCCCTCAGTGACACTGAAGTCTGTCTGCTTCTCTCTGACCTTATCCAGCACCTCACCTGCAGTTGGTCCCTCTTCGCCTGTTTCTAGAAAACAAAGTCAGAAAGAAAGTCTTCAGTTTGAGAGTGGGCTATTCAGTGGGAGCCCCAGTGGGGTCTTTTCCTTTCTTAGGTCAGTTCAGAGGAGAGGGGACAGGCTGGGCCGTTTTCTGGTTACAGTCTGGGTCAGGCAGAGGAGGCCTGGGTGTGGCTGCACTGAGGGAAGTGTGGGGTGGCCCCTGGGGACCGTACCAGAATGGAGAAGGGAACTGGAGCCTGCACTGTCCCTCAGGATCCCTGGGATTTGGAGAGAGGTCTTCTCACCAGTAATGCTGATGCTGACAGCACGGCTCTCCTGGGGCCCGTGGCTGGGATGGGTGGCCACGCAGCTGTAGGTTCCCTGGTCCTCAGGCCCGACCTCAGGGAGGAGCAGCACAGGGCTGGGGGGGAGGGGCAGGGGCATACCCTGGCGGGGAAAGGGGGACAGGGAACAATCAAAACCCCTGTCCATACACCCCATACTCCTGCCGCTGCCTCCACATCCTCAGACACCCTCATCTTCCCCAGCTCCCCACCTGCCTCTCTCTCCATGAGCCCTCTGCCCTCCTCCTTGCCAATTAATGTATCCCTCTACCTCCCAGTCCCCTCTCCAGGTCACTCACATCCTTGATCCAGTGGATTTGAGGCGGGGGCTGGGCAGGGGCTTCACAGGTCAGGGTCACGGTACCACCGGGAGCTACTGCTCCACCTTCTGGCTCTACCACCAGCTGGACCTCCTCCAGTGGTACAGGCTCTGGGGGTTGAGAGTCACCTGTGTGTGGTCGCAGCGACCATCCTACCATCCATTGGCTAAACCCTCCCTTCCCTAAGGGTCATACTTCTGACATGTGCTCACCCAGGCTTGGGGCCCTCCCCACCTCTGCTCTCACCCAAGACGCTGAGCTGGATGGGGGCCGTGTGCAGGGCTCGGCGCCGGGGAAGGCCAGGGCTGAAGCTGCAGGAGAAGGAGGGGCGGGGAGCTCCTCCCTGGGCTGGGGTCACCATCAGCTCTGAATGGAGTGTGAAAAGCCCCGTCTCAGGGTGTCTCCTGGTCTCTTCCTTCACAGACACTCCTACAGTGGGTGGAGAACAAGGCAAGACATTCCAGGGGGGCTGGGGGAGGGGTCAAAAAGAAGGCAGCCAGGAGGGGGGACCTTGGGACTCACCTTTGCCATCAGGTGTCAGGGTTTTCCCATCCAAGTGCCAGCTAAGAGTCCCTGCAGGGTAGCCCCCCTCGGACACACATGTCCCCACCTGGGGAAAAACACCTCATCATCTTTGAAAATAAGAGAATCACAGGGGAAAGGTATAGCTAAGTGGTAAAGTGTGCACTTAGCTCACACGGGGTCCTGGGTTCAATCCCCAGTGCCTCCATTAAAGCGGAAATAACAAATAAACTGAATTACCTCCCCCACCCCCAAGGGAAAATAAAAAGGAAAATAAAAGATTCCATACACATACACACAGCTACACCCCCTCCCATCCTCAGCACCCCTTCCTATGCCTCCCCTTTTCTTCCACTACCTTACTGGGAACACCAGCCATGAGTTCGGAGGCAGGATCAACAATTTCTGGCTTCCCAGGAATCTCTGAAGGAGGGAAAATTCCAATCAGAGGTTGTTTGCAGCTTTGAAGAGTCACACACCCCGGGTGCGGGAATAGGGGGTGCAGCTGAATCAGGGTCTCACGTGCCAGGGCCAAGGAGTCAAGGGCTGGGGTAGAAGGCTTTTCCTTAGATGAGAGGTGGGCCTTGAGGAAGGCCCTGGAACCTTACGGTAGACTCGGACTCGGTAGTTGGACTTGGTCTCCTTTCCATGCCGGCTCGTTGCCCGGCACCGGAAGGTCCCCTCATCCTGGATCCCAACAGCTGGCAGGAGGAGGGAGCCGTTGGGGAGGACACGGGCCACGCTATCCCAGGGCCCTCCCTGGGGAGATAAGACCTTCCAAGCTTCTGTCCGGCCTGTGTTCTGGGGAGCAGAACAAGCCCTTCAGGAAAGGACTCACAAGGCAGACAGGTGGGGAGGAGGGGATGTGAATCGTCACCCATCTCCCTGGAAATGGGGAGACTGCGACAGGAGCCCCACTTACCAGTTTCCATTCCAGCTGCTGGGGTGGTTTCTTGGGGGCCCCCTTACAGTTCAGCACCAGTGGCTTCCCAATCCGGGCTGTGATGTTTCGATCCCCTACTACTGCCCCTGGGAGACAGCACCACGATAGAGGGGCAGGAAGGGAGATGGGAGCTAGTAAGACTAGAACAGGGTGGATGAGGGAGACTGGAAAGCAGTACCCAGGTTCCCAGAAAGTTGTGGGGAGGTCTGGGGAGAGGGGCAGAGTGCTTTCTGCCTGGAGGATCAGTGTGTGGGGAGTGGCTCACCCCACAGACCGAGGACCAGCACCCAGGCTCCAGCTGCTACCATCCTGCTTCTGTCCCAGGTTCCTGGCTCTGTCTGCCCCTCGCTGCTGTGGCCACCACCCTAGGTGGGGCTTGTACCCTCTCCCCAGCCCCCATCTCTCCAGTCCTGTCCCGTCACAGGGAATGCTAGGAATTTGTGCTTCTTGGACAAGAGTCCTTCAGGTACTAGGAGAAACAATTGTCACCCCACCCCTGGGCACTGCCAGCCTCTGGGCACAACCACATCCACGGGGGTGGGGAGTGCATCTCTTTGGGTAATCCCCCAGGGCCCATCGTATTCCATCAGCCCACTGAGGGCTGGCTCTTGGAGGACTGGACCCCTATCTTGACTAGGCAAGGTTGCTAGGCAACAGGGTTCAGGACTGGCTGTTTCCTGTGGAACCGAGGCTGGGGTGAAACCTGGGGCCTGTGTGATGAGGGCAAGGCTGGGGGACTCAGGGGGAACAGTTGTTTGGGGGGCTTTATGAGAAAAAAATACTTTTTTCTGGGGTTTCTCATGTTTTTGAAAAGAATTCTCAACTAAACCCAGGGAAAAAAGCAATTTCTTTATTTAAAACTGCGTTTTTTGTTTTTTGTTTTTCTGTGAAACTACAAGTTTACAAGTGAGGAGAGAACTGCCCCCGGCCCATGCCTCCCACCCCAACCCATCACACTCCCAACCTGCCCCCTAATCCTGCCCAGATCTCTGACGAGAGGGGTTCCCCACTCTTGTAAAATCCTGAGGATGTTTGAGGGGTTCAGATGGTAGGGTTCAGGGCCAAGAATGGGACAGTGATTTTACTTTCCCCACACCTGGCTTCTTGCGGCCTCCCTCCTCTCTCCCCACCTTCTTGATTTTGGATTGAGAGAAAAAAAAAGATACCTTATTTCTGGGGAAATACACAAACACCGAACCCCATATTTAACATATTTGGCAATAACCCCCTCCCCATTCTTCCCCCTCCAATCTGCAAATAGTTAAAAAAAATTTAAAGACGTGTCACTCACAGGGGAAGGTGGCATTTGCTCAAAATGACTGAGTCCAGCCCTGCCTAGATTGTGGGAAGAGAGGACAGGCTGGCAGAGCAAACCCCTGACTGACCTTGACTGCCTCCACACCAGGTGCAACAGAAAACTGCCTGCACAAGCAAAGAATACCTAAGTGACTTCACAAGCAAAGGAGAACATTCCTAAGTGACTTTAGGGAGGCAGGCTTGGTGCCCTACTAAATGCACTTCTTGACAGACAGGACTGGAGCCAGGCAGGCCTCTTCACCAGTTCTATTTGTTCCCCTTTCTCTTATCGTGACCCCTTTGGCTATCACCCCTAATATGGGAAAGCAATAAAAAAAAATTTATAAAAACATCTACTTCCCCAAACTAAATTAAAAATTAAGAACCATCACCACGAACAACACCCCCCCCCAAATAAAAAAAATACAGATGGATCCCAGGGTTATTTTTTCTTTCCTTTTAAAAAAAAAAGTTCAACCCCAAAGCCCAGTCAACAGTTCCCTAAAGTAGCAGAAACTCCCTCCGAGGTAGATATCTGAGTCAGACACTCTCGTCCACCGAGCGATTCTATTGGTTTAAGATGAGCTGCGTATGAGGTAATAAAGCCGTCTGGAGGGGCCGGGGGCGGGGAGGCACGGGGGGCGTGGCCCATGTCCTCTGTCCAGAAGTCGAGTCCCCATTTTTGGCATCTCTGGTCGGGCAGGGCTGGCGTCTCCACAGATCCCAGAGCAGATAAGTGGGGTGGGGGAGGGAGAGTGGGGGAGCCCAGAGAGAGAGAGACAGACAATAGTTGTATGTGTGTATGAGAGAGAGGAGAGAAAGATCTGAAAAATAGGATTCTATGTGTGTGTTTCTGTGGGAGAGAGAAAAGAATGGAAAAAGGGGAAACAGACTCCACTCCCCCCTTAGGGGACCTCATCTTCCCTGCCATGTAGTCAGCACCCCCAGCACTGAGAGAGTCCAGCCGGGGATGGGATGACCCCGTTTGCCTTTCTCTGTCTTGTGCTTCTCCTGTGTCTGGGTTTTGTCCTCTGGATGCCTGCGTCCTCTTCAATAGTTGCCTTGTGAGCCCCCACCCCTGTGGCCCTGAGGGGCGAGATCAGTTGGAAGTGTCAGAGTGAACGCTCCCTGGTCCCTCCGTTGGGGATGTCACTGAGGATGGGGTCACAGCCTCCTGCCAGCCGCCATTTGCCTGGAAAAAGAGACAGACACCCATTGAGTTGGGGTAGGGCTTTGGGAAACCCAGCACGGGGGAGAACACTGCCGGGAGAAATGCCTTCTGGTCCAGGCTAGAGTCCTGCTGGTGCGAGGTAGAGAGAGGGGGCTTTAGGTACTCACTCACCCTCATTTCCCGAGGGCTATATATCTGGCCTCCCCCGAGGTTATCCCCATAGCCCCCTGGCCCCATCGAGTGTCGGAGTGATTCCACCTGCAGACAACAAAGTGACAGTGAGAAGCCTCAAAAGAAGAAAGTCTCAGATCCAAAAGTAGGGACACTGAGTTTGGGAAAGCCCCGCTCAAGGGGAGATGGACCACCTGACCTGGGAGGCAGAATAGGAATCTCCGTTGAGCCCAGGCATCCCCAGAAACATGTCACCGGATCCTGAGAGATTGAAAGAGCCGCCAGAGCCTGGGGGGAGCAGAGAGGGAGTTAGGGAGAAGTGTAACAGAGCCTGTGATGGCAGACAGGAGACTCACCACCGCTCTGAGTTTTCAAAAAGCTCTCTCAACTAGCGCTGAGGGTGCGCCACCATACACAAATTACCCACAAAGCAACACTGCAACACTAAGAAAGAGCAGACCGTTCCTGAGTCTCCCCTGGCCACTCTCTGGAAGAAAGGCTAAAGTAATTTCACTGGAGCAGCCTCTGTTCCGATATCCTCACCTCATCTCAGCTCCGTCCCTCTCACCCCAAAAGGCGCCCTCCTCTCTGCTAGGATCCTGCCTAGTTAGGAAGTGGGAACAAAAGCAGGAAGTGTGCAAAACAGCCAGGCAGGCTGGCAGCGGGATCCACCTGCGGAGGAAGGGGGTGTTGGGGAGCTGGTGCGGCTGTGGCCTCCCTGGGTGACTGACACAGCGGTCTTGACAGCATATATATTTGCCTCCTCTTGGAACTTTCCAATATTTTTCTTATAGCGAATCCGCTTGTTGCCAAACCAGTTGGAGACCTGGGGGTGTTGGGCAGAAAAGAGGGTCAGGTGGGAACCTGTCCCTCTGTAAACACCTCAGTCAACAGGATTGGAGAGCTTTTCACCCCAAAACTCCTCCCCAAGCCTCCCCAATACCTGAGAGACAGTGATTCCACACTTCTTGGCGAGCTCCTCCTTGGCCTCCTCACTAGGATATGGGTTACTCAGGTGGGAGTAGAAATACTCGTTCAGGACCTCAGTGGCCTGTTTGCTGAAGTTACGGCGTTTTCGTCTACAGAGGAGAGAGGGGGTGATGAGGAGGGTGTCGGTGTCCCAGCAGGGCCACTCTTAACTCCAGAGGGCACCACTGTCATAGAGTAGTGTGTGTGATGCAATGTGGTGGCCCAGAGGCTTGGAGTCGAGTGAGAAGGAGCATGGTGCTGGGGCTGGCCTGGGGCCCTGGGCCCCACCTGGCATCCAGGAAGCGGGAACGCAGGATCATGACGGCCTCGCAGGTGCTCTGTTTGAGCTGCATCTGGATGGCGCTGAACTTCCGATGGATGATGCTCACCATGCGCTCCATCTCCTTGGGGGCCACGGGCCGCGTGCGGCTCTGCTCCCTCAGCAGGTTCATGACATGGGTTGTGAACTCGTTACATGCCTGCAGGGGGGGCCCGTGGCCTGGTGAGGAGGAGCCCTTTGGCCTAGGCATCCCCTCTAAGGGCCACTGCCTCCACCCACTCCAGCTGCCGCACCTCACCTGCTCATACTTCTCCAGCTCTGAGTGGTAGATGTGGCGGATCTGGGCAAGTTTGCTGCGATAGTCCGAGTGTTCGATGGAGTTGTCGGGGGACACACCGCCCCCGGAGGCTGCAGCCGCTGCAGCTGCGGCCGCTGAGCCACCCCCTTTCTCTGGCCCAGCCACACCCTCTGCCAGAAGCATGTTGTCCAAGCGCATCAGCTGTGGGTCCACAGGCTCCTCCTCTTGGGAGCTCCGAATGCTGAGGCCTAGTGTGCAGGGGAGTGGACTCAGGGGCCCAGGGACCCCACACCCAGCTCTCAGCCCTCCTGGTGCCTCCTAGAGACCCAAGTTTCCAGGTGTGTGTTCCCTCCCCAACCCCCCTCAGCAACCTGCCTGACCCCCAAGTTGTCAAACTCTTGGCCTGAGCCCTAGAGTGAACAGGGTTCTGTCCCCAGAGTTGAGGAATCAGAGGGGGGCCTACATACCGGTTTTCTCCTTGATTTCACACAGGACGCTAAAAAGAGCAGGCTTCATTCGGTGGCAGTTTAGGGCATGTTTCCTTGGAAGGAATGGGAGAGAAAAGTTGAGAGGCTACAGAAATGGTGGGGGGAGTGGGAAAGACACAAAACCACAAAATGACACACCCATAAATGTGAGAGAAGGGAGCCTGCGGATAAGAGGAGAGGTGATGGGTAAATGTGCGGCAGGAGAAAGCAGGGTTGGGGGCAGAAAGGAGTTGGGGGGTTCTTGGTAAGAGATCAGCTCCCAGAATGTGGAGATGCCAGGGAAGCTGCTTGGCTTTGGGTGGACGGAGGGACGGTGCAGCAGGCTAAAGGCACCACGGCCAGGCTGAGGGTGGTGGGAGACAGTCTAGAAGGGTAGAGGGGGAGTCTGGGGGTGACTGCAGAAATGAGGGTGACTAGGTAGATTTCAGAGGAACAGAGGAGAAGGCTGGGGAGGAGAAGAGGCAGAGTTGGAGGTGCCAGAGGGGGTTCAGGGTGCTGAGCTGAAGTGGGGAGTTCAGTACAGAGGTGTGTGAGGGGTCCTGGGACTGAGCAGGCTGGGAGGCGCTGATGCTCGCAGTGTCAGCTGAGTAGGGGCAAAGGGTGAGGAGGACCCTTGGAGGCTGGGCCATCGGTGGAGCAGTATGGAAGGAACTCTAGGGAGGGGTATGGAGGCCCCTAGGATGAGGGTGAGCTAGAGAGTTAGGGGAGAAGACAGCATAGCACTTTCTTAGTCTGGGAGCCAGAAGGAGGCTCTGGAGATGGGAGATGTTCCAGGGGAGTGTGGGGGGTCAGTGAGAGGCCGGGGGGCATGAGACCACCTAGGGTTCCCCTTTTTGAAGGTTTCAGGGACTGGGGGTGAAGGGAAATTTGAGAGGGATTGATTATCTCGGGGCTCTCGGGAGTAAGGAGAGGAGAGGAGAGCTGTAGGATCCTGGGGAGGGTCCTGGAGTTGGGGGCTCTCATAAGATTCAGACCTTGTGAATGGGGCTTCTGCTAGGTCTG